GGCTCGGTCTCATCCTCTAAAGATGGTTTTTCGGATTATGATTCTCCATGTTGTATCCACGTTGGCATGGTTCACAACAAGGAATTTTATGCTGTTACATTAAGGAGCAATGTTTGTCTTCAAGCACAAAAGCATTTCTAGAAATTCCCATTGATCTGGTCGATCTTTGAAACATTTTTATCCCCTATCTTGCGTGCGTAAGTCTGCCTCCTTTCATCAAATGTAAGTGGAGCTATCTCAGCCTCATCCTCTAAAGATTGTTCTTTAGATTTTGATGCTTCTTCTGATGTTCCATGTACATTAGACATGGTTCACAACATCGACTACTTCCTCAATGCCAAAGGTATGCACCATTTTTTTCTTGTTATTTCAAATATTGTCACTCTGAGTATCAAATTAACCAAGTCAATTGAAAACAAAAGTACGAGGTTTTGTCGACTCTTCCTCTTTACTCATAAATCTGTATCATGATAGGATTCAATGAACCCTTCTTTAGTTTATTACTAAAATTGGAGTAGGAGAATATCCGAAGCGAAATATGTGTTGCGTAGAAGGCTCTCCGTCTTTGACTCCTTGTGCCACTATCGACTCATTGTCGTGTCTATTAGGAAGAACTAGGTTGAGTTTTTCAAAGCTCACGTGGTTCACCTTTCTCTGCCTTGTATTTTCAAAGTATTCTGCGCACAAAAATCAAAGCATTCTTCATTAAGATCTCTTCTTTCTTCCCAAGGTTCAAAGTATCCGTCGAGTCAAATACAACTCAACCGAGTCGTATCCGTCTCGGCTGCCACATATCCGATAACGATACACGATACAAGACTATCATAAGTCTGTCATGAATCGATTCTAACACAGCCCAACTCGGTCCAACTCGATCGATTTACCTCCGAATCGAACAGATACCCACAGAATCGTCTACCAACTTTCAGGCAACAGAGAAAATGCAAAAAAAAAGGCAAAAAAGATGAGAAATTGAACCATAAATCAAACCCTTTTTACCATAATAAAAACAGAACAAGAAAGTGAGAACAAATTTGAACACAAACTAAAAAATTGTGGTAAATCTTCTTAATCAAAGAGCACTTTCTACTATTTGTTCTTCTTTTTCTTCTTCTTCACAGTAGCAGGGGACCCAACATTATCGATTGACTTGGCATATCAATTACAGAAACCTTAGGCCGCTCGACGATCGGATGATGACTACTCAAGTAACAGAGGACCTAACCTTCACGTGAGCTCTCCCTCGGTCCCTTTCTCATCTCTCGTCTCCATCTCCGTCTCCGTCTCTCTCTCTCCCCTCAAAACTCAAAAGTGAAGAATATCTTAGTAAAACTTGTATTAAGGAAAAGATTAAAAAAATGTCTTGATTTTTATTTTTTCTCTTCTCATTTCTGTTTTTTTTTTTTTGTATGTTCTTTCTTTTATCCTATTATTAAATTATGTTTAAACTTAAAAAAAACTATTTGGGATCTAATGTATTTAAGAAATTAATAATTTATAGATGAATATTTTTTATTGGTGTAGCATAGATAATTTTTATTTTCGATGGCACCTTTATAATCTATTTTTATAATTTTTAATGTGTTAGATAATATATTTTAGGTAGATAATGCACGGATGTTGTTTACATTTTATAGAATTTTTGATATTTTTTTCAAATTGTTTTTGGTACTTCTATCTAGTATTTTGAATGTATCAGCCGATACTGTACCAAGACATCGCAACCAATTTGTATCAATGTCCTCTGAGTTAATGACCGATACTGCAACTTTGAACCATATTTCTTCCACCACTGTGACGCACCAAAATCTAGGGGTCTTTTTCTAACTCCTGGAATGCCTTCTCGCAAGTCATCCCATTGAAATTTGACATCCTTTCTAGTCAGTTGTGTCAGAGGTGCCGCTAGGCGAGAGAAGTCCTTGATAAATCTCTGGTGATGTCCTGCCAATCCAAAGAACTACGTATTTTGAAGATTGACTTCGGCCTCTGTCAATCCATTACCGTGTCTCAACCTTTTTCGGGTCAACTGATACACCCGTAGCAGACACAACGTGGCCCAAAAATTTGACTTCCTTTGGACAAAACTCACATTTGCTGAATTTGGCATACAATGGGCAATCTCTCAAGGCTTGTAAAACAATCTTCAAGTAATGTTCGTGCTCCTCCTCCATCTTGGAGTATACAAGAATATCGTCTACAAACACTACGATAAATTGAACCAAATAGAGTTTGAATACCCTATACATGAGATCTATAAATGTGACTGGAGCATTCATCAACCCGAATAGCATAACCTTGAACTCAAAGTGGCCATATCGAGTCCTAAATTTCGTCTTAGGAATGTCGGCTTCGCATACCCTCAATTGATGATACCCCATGCGCAAGTCTATCTTAGGATAGAACCGAGCCTCTCTCAATTGCTCAAAAAGGTCGTCTGTCCGTGGAAACGGGTACTTGTTTTTTATGGTGACCCGATTCAACTGTTAATAGTATATAAAAAGTCTAAGAGCCCCATCTTTCTTTTTGGCAAATAGGAGCGCCCCAAGCTAAGATACTCGGTCTAATAAAATCCTTGTCCAACAACTCTTATAATTGAACTTTGAGTTCCTGCAACTCTATTGGTGTCATCTTATGTAATGGTATAGAGATAAGGCATAAACAGGGCTGCAATCCGAGATAGCCTTTTGTCTCGCCTCGTCCTCAAGTGTAAGCCGCAAGCCAACCCACCAACTGCCCGAGCCATCGGAAGTCAAATACAACTTCGGGTAAACATTGTTTTTCTCGCTGAAACTTGAAACAAATATCCTCTGAAGTGTAGGCGGTGACTTACTTCCGATCACAATCAATAACCATCCGATGTGCCTTTAATCAATCCATCCCGAGGCTGACGTCAAACTCCGACATGTCCATGACCCTAAGATCCACTGTGAGTTGAATCCCCTAAATCTCTAATCCCGACACATCTTATCAATGCAAACCCTTGTTCCCAGAGGAGAATTTACATGCAAGGACTCCTCCAATGTCTCAACCTCTAAGTTCAATCTTTCACACAAGATGTAGAGATGAATGAATGAGAAATCAAATAACACTCATGCCCATAAACGAGAGAGTAGAAATATGCCTAATGTCCCAGTCCAAAATCTCTATCCTCGGCCTCAACCTCGACCTACACCTTGGGTTTTCTGTCTTAACTGCGGAGTCTTCGTAAGTGAAATAGCTGGGACCTACCCAAAGCCCTAAGGTTGATACTAATTCTCTTGCACCAAGATAGGATAGGGAAGAATGAAAAATGTCTATATAGATCCCCCCAATGACTGATTCTGAGAAGCCCCGTAACTCTGGAATCCTTGCCCGACAAGGCAATCCCTCTTCAGATGACCCAGCTAATGACACAAGTAACATGTCTTTTAACCTCTTTGATACGTCCCCTTAAAGTTCCTCCCTTCTTGGGAAAACTGACTCTAGCCTTGGCCTTGATAACCTCGGTCTTGCCTCTAAGACCCTTGTGGTGTAGAGGTCTTTTGCTTTAGGTCTAAGAATTCCCAGGTTTGCACTTGCTTAAAAGCTGACGAAAAATACTTGTTCATGAAAAGCTCTTGAAACTCTTTCCATGTCATCATCTCGATGTATATCGATGTCCTTGCCCATGTTGTTGGGCCTCTCCCTCAAGTTGGAACATCGCCAACCTTATCTTGGTGGAATAAATTCCAAGTTCCCATGCATGACACATGATATAATGTCATGACATAAACAAGGCATTTCAAACTCCCATCATTGATGCTAAGCATCCAATGACAATTTATCAATTCTTGTGTCTTTCTTAGGTAAGTAATTTATAGACATCACACCATCTGGCTACCAAACCAACACAGCATTCGAGGGCATCCTATCTCCGTTTCCGAGTACACCGACACACTTTTCTGAAATTTCACCGTCGGACAAGTGTATGAACCAAGTAACCGGATCTTGCACCCGAGGGAGAATCTATCCCGTCTGACAATACCCAACACACTTTCCATGCAATATTTCGTGCGACTCAATTAGACATTTGTCCAATTTTTCCAAGCCCACCAATCAAATCACCAGGTGGTGATTGACCTAACCCATGCACACACACACACACTCACACTTATGTCAATACCCATAAATGTAGTGTAACCGTGCATATGCAATATAATGTACAATTGCAATTATATTCCATCACAATGGTAACTATGTCATGTAAGCATAGGATACATCACATAAGTATAAAAATCTTAATTATATCATGAGACATATAATAATATCTCAACCATTAGTCAATTCCACTTCCTGCTGCAAGCAGCTTTTCATATAAAATTTGCTTTGTCCAAGCAGTGATAGGCTGATAGCTATCGCATAAACTTGGCTTATTGAGAAGCTCAAGTTTGCTTGGTAGATATGAAATAACTATTTTGGACATTATCTCTATATTATGTGGAGTCTAGTTAAACTAAAATCGGATCAACTTCTACTTTGTATGATGAAACTGAAATAACAATATGATGTTCAATTAATTTCTTAGATTTCATGTCAATTTCAACAAACAAAACAAGAGAAAAGCTTCAAACATTGCAGATTCTGGCCAAAGTACTAGACAAAAATGTTGCGTTCAATATTACCAGTTTTAAGTGATCCCATGATACCAAGATTATCCATCCTATGTTGGAGACAGTTTATTTGCAGTTTCAGAACGAGTATGAGCAAAAGATAATCTTCCTATATCTGATCATGATTTGAACTAAACTTCAAACTTCTGTACACCTGAAGTTACTTTATGCATAATAAATTGAGTTATGGAAGTTAGAAGTGTGATATACAATATTGAAATAAGGTTACTATATGCATGCTGATTTTTTTATAAAAAAAATAAGGGATAATGTGTGCATGCAGATGCAGAAGGACCTCTGCTCCAGATTGATAAAATGTCTAACTTTTCCATGACAAATTTTGGACAAGCAAGACAGTTAAGTTGAATATACCTGCGCCAAGGGTGATATTCGGGGACTGATGCCTCCTTCACGCTCCATTTGTGCTACAGTACATGCAATTCTCAGCTCCCTAATCAAACAATAATGAAAATGAAATACGATTAGGCACTTCATGCATAAAAATTAAATCAGCTGTACATTAAAACTGAAAATGAACAACTTTAGTGTTTCTCCGCCAAGAATAGCTGCCACAAATAGTCCATCAGGCTTCAATGCCAATCTACACTGTTATGAAATAACAAACCATGAACAAGTAAGCATTTTTTACAATTCCCAAAGAAGCACAGTTTATCCTAATTTAATTTTTTCTCATAAAAAACAACCAAAGGAAAAAGGGAACAATGATACACGATATGCTAAAACAGTTTCCATATCAGCTACATAAGAAGTATGCACCTGTATCATGGCTCCAGGAAGATCATTTGTCCAGTGGAGTCCCAAACAACTAATCACCAGATCTACAGAACTAGACATAAACACAAAACTTCTCAATTTAGAACAAAGGCTGTATGGAAAAACATATATTATATGCAAATCCAGTAAAGAACGTCATATCAGTCCATGAAATAGATCCATATAGAGAGCTAACTGTGCGCACCTTTCTTTTACTGGCAAAAACTCTTCATCACCAGCTACAAATGATGTTTCAATATTTTCATTAGGCATATCTTGCTCTGCATCTCTACACAGTTTCACCATGTCATATGACGTATCCAGCATAATTAGCTTTTGGATGGCTCCTGACATGAGAAAGTGTGTATCTCATTATTACCTCCAGTACTTAATGAGATGTGAGGAGAAAATTGGGGTTACGGACAATCTTTTTATATAAACGTTAATCTGAGTTCCAGTTTTTTTTTTTCATTTTTTGGGAGCTTAATGTGAATCATAGTTCAATATTCAATGTGCTAAGAATAGTTGAAAATTTTTCCAGATTCAATATATGAAGGAGCATACTTCGTCAAATGCTTGATAAGATAATATGACATTATTCAACATGATTAACAAGGAAACAATGATGGAAAAACAAAATAAAATTGCATTAAGGGTGTTTGAAGTGCAAAAGAGGTTCTGTGGTATGTGGTTCGATCCCAATCCTTCTATATTTCCCTTACAAGGAAAGGAAGCCCATCATTTGCTTTCCTATCTAATAAAATGATGTTCCTTATCCATAACAAAGAAGAGTCAGAACGAGTACATACTGTTTAGGACTTCTTATAGCAATTACTGTTCAAAGACAATTCAAAATGGAAATTCATCAAAGCAAGCCCAACTAGGACTGCAAAAATGGACAGGTAACCCCAATATCCACACCAACAGGCAGCTTTACAGAGCAAGAGAAATATAGCAATAGTCCACACCCGATACATTGCTTTTACATTTCGGTTTGACCTGTTAAGTTTAGAGAATTAACACAATATTAGAGAAAGACGGAGAGTGGTCAAAACTTAACCTACTCTCACAAATCATTTGTATTTATAGTTAACTCATAATAATACAAAAAGACGTATTACACCCTCTAATATTTATACATAATACCCTAATACTTTTAACACTCCCCCTCAAGCGGGACTATATGTCATATGATCTAAGTTTGAAACAAATTGTTGTAAGACGTGTAAGACTCAATACTTGGGTAAACATATCTGCAAGCTGATTTTTAGATTGTACAAATGGAGTTGTAATCTCTCCGACTACTATCTTGTCTCGAATAAAGTGACAATCAACCTCAATATATTTGGTTCTCTCGTGAAACACCGGAGTGGCAGCGATATATATAGCTGCTTGATTATCACAAAACAACTGTAACAGAAGTTGAACTGAAAATCCAATTTCCTGGTGGAAGTGTAGTAGTCAAGTCAACTCACTCGTTGTATGCGTCATTGCCTCATACTCGGCCTCAGCACTGGATCTTGCTACCACTGGTTATTTCTTACTTTTCCATGAGACAACATTACCTCTTAAGAAAGTATAATAACTAGATGTTGATCTCCGATCAGAAGGAGAGCCAGCCCAATCAGCATCTGAGAAACCTTTCACTTTAAGATGTCTATTAGCTCGATATAACAATTCAAGGCCAGGAGCACGTTTGAGATATCGCAGAATACGAGTAACTGTCTTTTAATGTGGTACTCTAAGACACCCCATAAACTGACTTACTATACTGACCAGTGTTTTGAAAAGCTCGCCTAGGCGAGAAGCGAGGCGAGGCGAGCTTATCTCGCCTGGAGGACCCCAGGCGAAGCGAACGTGAGCGAAGCGAGAAAAAAGCGAGAAAAAGCGAAGAAGCGAAAAAAGCGAAAAAGCGAACGCTTTATTATAAAAAGCGATTCTGCTTCAACTTTTTTTTTTTTTTTTTTCTGATTACAGGTTAGTAGTCTCTTTTATTTTTTAATCACTAATGACTTTTTTTTTAGACTATTGCTGGTCTATTTTTTTTTTTTTTTTAATAAACAATGTTTCGAACAAAACACATTCCTTTTTTTTCCTTGTGTTGCTGAATTCATTTAGAATATTTGTGGAATGTGGGAGTCAGGCGACTGCACTGCATGACAATTATGATAAAAAAAAGGAAGCAGGAGTATCAGAAATGGGGGTAAATAATAGATTCTTCTACAAAGAAGTGTCTCTGATATGTCTTGGTTATACTTTTTTCTTTTTTTATATATATACAAATGGTACCAAAAAGTGGTCTATGCTTATACCATGTTTAATTATTTTAGTACATGTGAAATGTGCCTCTGTTCTGCTTTTTTTTATTCAATATATAATTACATATGAAATTGTTTACAATTGATTCTGCTCCTGTCATGATCATTGTGCTTCTGTTTTTTTTTTTAACTCATTCTGCTTCTATTTTTTTTTGTTGATTCTGTTGCTGCTTCGGTTTTGCTGTCCTGTGTTGCTTTTATTTTTTTTTATCCTTATTCTACTTCTTTTTTTTTTGTTGCTAATTATGCTGTTGTCCTGATTCTGCTTCTTTTGTTGTCCTACCCTGTCAATATGAAAATGTATACAATTGTTAGTATTTGTTTGAATTTAAATGTTTAAGTTATGACTGTTATTAAGATTTGAGATATTATTAGTATTTTTTTTAATTTAAATGTTTATGGTTTTACTTGCATTTAAATATTTAATATATATAAAATTAGAACTTAGATTGTTTAGAAGTAATTAAACTAAAATATATATTTTTTTAACTGTTCGCTTTGCTTCGGTAAAGCGTGTCGCTTCGCTTCTCGCTTCTCGCCTAGGCGTTAGGAGCCTTGGTCGCTTCGGTTCGCTTTACGCCTTAAATAACACTGATACTGACCGCATAGGAAATATCCGGTCGAGTATTAGTGAGATAATTGAGCTTCTCAACCAATCTGCGATACCGACCCGAATTCTCAAACAGTGAATCATTATCCATCAACAGTTTCTGATTTAGATCCATAGGAACATCAATCGGCCTGCCACCCAGCAAACCTGCTTCCTCTAGCATGTCAAATACATATTTCCTTTGAGATAAACAAATACCCTGTTTAGATCAAGCCAACTCAATACCCAAGAAATACCTAAATTTTTTCAAGTCCTTCGTATGAAATAGATCTTATAGGAAGGTTTTTAACGGCCCCCACGACCACTCGTACGACCTCCCCGACTACCACGTCCACCTCGGTGACCATCAGTGTGGCTACTAGGAACCACAAGAATTGAGTGATCAATGGAGACACCATGATCGATGCCTGAAGGAGTAGACAGAGTAGCACGCTTTAAACAAGAGAAAACCTCAAGTAGAGAGAGAAGACTAAAACTACCCAAAATCTGAGAACGAATAGCCTCATATTTAGGTTTCAATCCTACCAAAAACCTAACAACATCCAAATTTTCATGTTGCTTCAGTCAAACTGCTACATTAGTAATGAACGGATGGTAGAGCTTCAACTCCTCACAGACTCCCCGAACGTGGAAGTATTAATCCTCAAGGCTAAAAGTACCCTAATCCAGCTGGAAGTACTGCTTGCACACCTCATAAGCACGGGTAAAATTACCTATGCTAGAATACATAATGGTCAAGTGATCTCATATCTCTTTGGCAGTGTCAAGGTAGAACAGAGTAGAACTAATACTCCACTCTATGCTATTCAACGGTAAAGAGATAATCTAAGCGTCCTATTGTTCCCACTGATCATACCCAGAAGTATCTTCCTTAGGTTTGGGATTAACCAATTTTTTCTTAAAACCTTTGCCTCGAAGAAATGCTTAAACGAAATGAGACCATAAAGTAAAATTAGTCTCATTGAGTTTAACAGAAGTCATGGGACCATTAATAAGAACTGGAGAAATAGAGATAGGTGGCAAAGATGGAGCAATAGCATCTTGCTTAGGTTCCATAATAATATAGCAGATAGTAAAACAGGAGCAACATTACTACTGGATAACTGAACGGAGCAAGCAAATAGTAAAACAGGAGCAACCTGACTGTTGGACACCTGAACGGAGCAAGAGGAAACAGCTGGACTTCTGAGCAGACAAGAGAAGACCATTGGATCGCTGAACCGGACTAGAGGACCTCGCTAGACCGCTGAACTGGACTGAAAAATCTCGTTGGATCGTTGAACCGAACAGGAAAAACGAACTGGATCGCTAAACTGGCATGAAAATAGATTGAACCGGCCTAGAGTGGACAAAACCGAGACTGAACCGGCCTTGAACCGGTCTAGCCTAGGTCTTGGGCTGGACCGGTTTTGATTTGGGCTAGAACCGACCCAAACGGACCTTGTCTTCTTTGTCTGATTAGGGTTTCAAAAGAAACCCTCAATCTTCGACAACGCAACCGACCCAATGGCACACCACCACAATGGGTTACACACCAACACCACTGCAACCACCGCGAAGCCGCCGATGTCGATGACCAGAGGCCATACCACCAGAATCGCAGAACACAGAGGACACCACCACACAGAGGCACACTGAGGCACCGATGTCGACAACGCCTCACACCGGAAACCTTTACCATAGACGTAGCACCACCACTACGCTGGAACTCCGACAGTAGCACCACTACAACAGCAGCAGCACCACCACAACAGTGACACCACTTCAACAGCAAAATAATTTTCACAACAAAAGAACACTAAGATTTGTATTTATGATAGAATTGCTCTAATACCATGTTAAGTTTAGAGAATTAACACAATATTAGAGAAAGACGGAGAGTGGTCAAAACTTAACCTACTCTCACAAACCACTTGTATTTATAGTTAACTCATAATAATACAAAAAGGCGTATTACACCCTCTAATATTTACACATAAAACCCTAATACTCTTAACAACCTCAAACAAATGAAGCTATCGATCATCTTCTCTCAAAACTCTCTTTTTGTTTCTCCTGCACAAATCCTACATACATCTCAATCTCTGTTTGTAAACAAATGATTGTTTCTCTTTTGATCTCTATTGGACACATGAATCACACGAAATGATAAATGAGTTAAAATGATATCTATATTACTTCAGACATTATATATTTACACACACATATATATGTGAGTGTGTGTTTTAAATTTAAATTAAGTGTATCTTACGAGACACGATACGTTACGAACTTATAATCCACGATACATTATTTTTGAAAATCTATACCCGTTCTGATACACGTTTTGACAACTATATACTACTATACATCTATAGACACAGTGAGTAAATATTTATTTTACATTTTGTGATCAATTTTTTAGTATCTAAAAGTATATGTAATTA